AAAAAAAAAAAAATCTGCACTTTCCCAGAGGACCCCAAATCCGAGCTCGTTCCATTTTTTCTAGAGTTGGCTGTCAAGGGGGGAAAAGGGGGGTATAAATTGCTAGGCTACCAGAGTGCCCCGGGGTCACTTGCCCGCCCGCACCAAAAAAAAAAAAAAAAAAAAGTTTTAAATTTTATTTTTTATTTTAAATTTGATAAAGAATTTCGATGTGACCCTGAGGCAAAAGTTGTTCAGTTTATTTTTTTGCATAACATAGTAGTTTTTGGGATTTTGTGTTTTTTTTTTTTTTTTTTTTTTTTTTTTTTTTTTTTTTTGGGCCCTTCCTTGGTCCTTGCACGGGTTGGCCACCGGGGACCCGGGCGGCCCGGCTGGTAGCCTAGATAAATTGTTTTTAAAGGGGCTAAGAGGGGTTAAGGGGGGGTCCTTTAGTTTGAGTTTGTTATTATTTTTTTTTTATCTCTGATTCAGTGAGGAATTATGATGTGACGCTCAGCCAAAAGTTGTTTGTATTGCAATTCTACACAACATATGTTTTTTTCTGAATTTTTTGTTTCGTTTTTTTTTTTTTTTTTTTTTTTTTTTTTTTTTTTTTGCGCACGCGCGCTGGGGCTGCCTGGAACCTTGCCGGGGGTCATGCTCGGACGGGCACCCGGGCGGGTATCCAGGCACAAGTTAGGTGCCCGAGCGCCCGGAAAAACAACCTAGATAATAGTTTTTTTAACATAAAAATAAACCATAGGTCATTTTATCATGAACCATATAACACTATAACATGCGTAGCACACCGAACATGTTCGGACACTCGGTCGAGCGGGAATTGAACATGTTCAGCCGAGTACAAATCAGGGGGCTGTCGAATGCGTTCTCGTGTGTGTCTGGTGTGTGGGGTGTGGGGGGGGTATGTGTGTGTGCGGGTGTGTGGTGTGTGTGTGTGTGTGTATATGTTCAGGAGTGATGAGCAATGCCCCCAGGGGACCCCCAACCCCTATATATATTTAAATATATATATATATATGTACAGCCCCTCGTTTGTTGTCCTCTTCTCCCTCTCTGCCTACGGTTTACCGGGCAGTTCTATTTGACGATATATATGTACAGGGTTACCAGCCCGTACGTACGGAGGCCCCCGGGTGGACCTCCGTACGTTCGGGCGTTCCGGGTCCCGTACGAGGCCCGAACCTGACGGCATTCGGCCCCCGCCAAAACTTATTTCGGGGCCTAAAAATATTTTTTTTTTTCTGAATTGTTTTTTACGAGTTCTCTATGACGTGAGGTACATATCTATAAATTTTCAAGTCATTTGGCTAAGCCAAATAAGAATTAAAAATCGTCAAAGATGGCGGTGTCAAAACGTGCTCGCCCACGTTTTTTTGCACTTTTTACTTTTTGTTTTCACTTTACTTCGGGGTCTAAACAATTTTATTATTTTTTGAATCTTTTTTAGTGGGTCTTGTATTATGTGAAGTACACATCTGTAAATTTTCAGGGCATTTAGCTTTGCCAAAAAAAAAAAAAAAATCGCCAAAGATGGAGGTGTCGAAAACATGCTCGCGCACTCACTAAATTTAATTATCTTTTTATTTTTATTTATATTTATTATGAGTATTTGTTCTGTGTATTTTATTTTTATTTTAAATTTGGTAAGGAATTCGGACGTAATGATCAGGCAAATCTTGTTTAATTTATTTTTCTCCGTAACATATCTTTTGTTCA